AAGTTTAGTGCAGAAAAGCAGAAAGGTTGCCTAGAGCTCTTACAGAGAATATGAGAGAATATGCTAGTTTTCCTTCCCTTAACCTCCCTGCTTGTTGAGAACAGTGCTGCTTTGTCTCTCTCATAGAGACACCTTCAGGGAGGAAACATTTATTTTGCTTCATAATTTTAGTTCATCATTGTGGAATCTGTAGCTAAAGGAACATATGGCCAAATTCCTCATGTCATGGTGAACAGGAAGCAGAAAGGACTCAAAGTAAGGCCAGATTTTAACCCTTTTGATCTGCTCTTAGTGACCTATGTCCATAGCTAGATACCAAAGCAGCACCACCTGTGGAAACATTTCACATTGAAACTGTGACCTCAGCTCAAAGCAGAGCACCCCCTTTCCTCATAGCTTTGTCTGTTAGTTGATGTGGTAGCTATGACAGGAGGAAAACCGGGATTGGAAGAAGGGAGGCCAGGGCCCCTAGAACCCCAACCCAGAAGGAAGATAGGGCCAAATTCATGAGTGATGGAAATTTTTACCAGGCATTGGGATGGGAAGATCAGTTGTCTTTTTCCTCTGTGGATGAACACTGTTGCTAAATAACTCACTCATCACTTGGAATTTCCCTTTTGAATGATGCCTTTTGTTGTTGTTCATTTGGAGATTTGGAAATTTAGTTTCCTTCCTGTGGTAATTTGAATACGAATAGCCCTATAGGCTCATCTATTTGACTGCTTAGTCACCTGGGAGAAGGTTTAAGAGTGTGACCTTGTTGGAGTAAATGTGGCCTCCTTGAAGGAAGTGTGTCACTGGAGGTGGGCTTTGAGGTTTTAAAAGCTCCCCTCCTCTCTCTTCTCCCCTCCCCAGCCCCTTTGGGATAGGGACACACCTGTAACTCAGCTACGTTTTCAGCACCACTCTTGCCTACTGCCAGGCTATCTGCCATGATGGTAATAGATTAAGGCTCTGAAGCTGTAACCAAGCACCCAATTAAATGCTTTCTTTTATAAGACTTGCCTTGGTCATGGTGTTCCTTTATAGCAGTAGAATACTGGCTAAGACACTTTTCCAAAATTTTATTCTTTTCTCATACAGTATATCCTGACAGCAGTTTCCCCTCCCTCCACTCCTAACCCCACTCCACCCCTAAGATCCCCTCCTCTTCCATTTCCCTTCAGAAAAGATCAGCCTTTCCAGAGATATCAACCGAAAACATAACAAGTTACAATAAGACGTAAGCCCTCACTCATATTAAGGCTGGACAAGGCAACCCAGTGAGAGGAAAAGGGACCTAAGAGCAGGCAAGAGAGCCAGAGACATCCCAACCCCCCACTGTTAGAAGTCCTACATGAACACCAAGCTACATAACCATAACGTATATGCAGGGAACCTAGTGTAGATCCATACAGGCTCTGTGATTGTCACTTTAGTCTCTGTAAGCCCCAGTGAGCCCTGGTTAGTTAATTCTGTGGACCATGTTCTCATGGTGTCCTCAACCCCTCTGGCTACTACAACTGCAGTTGGAGCACCAATATCTTGGATGACAGTCAAGAGGAGGCTTGAGTCTAGTGGCTCATTCATGTTTCCTTTTCTGTAAAGACTTGCTTCAGATGTGGGGTAGGCTGAGTCTGCACTTGTGCCTCACCCTCTAGCAGTCAGCCTGCATCTTCTTTATCTCTGTGGTATCAGGCATACGGTCACCACATCAGTTCAGTAAAATGCCTAAATACATTATTAATTGCCAACAAGCAGGATAGCATATTGCTTAATAACCGGTTTTACAAATAATCTTCATTTTCTTTTCGGTGTATGTGTGCTGAATATCCCCAACTCACAATGTGATTAACTACTTCTAAGCAGAAATACTGTTCTGGCTTTAATTTCTCCCATATTAGTTCAGAATTGTGCTTTCCACAAAATAGATATCTTTTTAAGTAATTGCCACTCAGCCTTTTTGGAGGTTTCTTGGCTATAGTGACAGAGCTAACCTAAAACGGTGACTAAATCATTAGATTCTCCCAATGAGTAAAGACGCTATCTTTACTCTTCCATACCTTCCAGTTCTTATTAAAATGAAAGAAACTTTACTGCAATGGAATCTGAATGGAAAATGATAGTCATTTTCTACATTTAGGAGTAGAAGATGTAACCCTACACTTCAGCTAGAAAATTGCAATTTCTTAGCAGTGGCAACTTAAATAAATTTCATAGGCTGTAGAGATCTAACTTTGTAATGATTGACAATATAAAATTAGCCTCTTCTTCTGTTAAGATTATCAGCATTTCCATCAGTTATATGGAATGTGAAAAGAGATTGCCCAGCTGTGGATTTGAACATACTGAAGTAATCAAAGAGTTAACAGTTACTTCCTCCAGTGGATGTAAAACTCTTGCACATACACAAACAAGTTTTTCAAAGTGCCCCATTTTACATCTTTGTGGAGAGACGGTATAGTTGCTGCATTTTTATGTCTAGATCATATTACAGATATATTTCAATAAAGCACGAAGAACCACCAGAGCCTCTAGAAACAGGCAGTCTGTGCTTACATAAACACCTTGGGCAGTACCTGTTTTATTTTATAGGCTCTGTAATCACAGTGACTTTCTGAAGGGAGACCTTGAAGCTTACAGAACAGCTGCCCTTCACAACTTCCCAGACTTGAAGCTGGGGGCATCAACACTGCAGAACAGGAAGTCAGGTGTCCAGCATGAAATAGCTTCTGTGGTGAGACATCCATCTTGTTCCAGTGCTTCAAAATCAAAAGATTGACAAGTGGTGAAACTAATGTGCACTAACCATGCTTGTAGCTATCAGGTTAGATGGATGTCCTCATCTATTTGCCTATAACTGTATTAGTTTCTTATTATTAGTGAACTTCCTATACTCAGCACTTTTTTGTAACAGTGTTTCTGAGATTGGGTTTGTCCATAAATATGCAATGTTTACTTTGTTGGGCGGAGTGTGTGTATAAGCTTTGACTGACACAGTCAGGTGAGCAGCCCAGGATTTATCTATCATAGCTACCAACAAGAAGGTCCTCAGCAGGTCTGAGTACTAAGTTGGGTTCCCAGATTTCCAAGTTCACTCTAGATATAGACCCCTTAGTCAAAAGCTGGTTCTTGAGATATGGTTCTGGGAACTTCTTTTGAAAAAGCTCACTGTTCAGTCCTACCCTAGACCCAGTGACTCAGGAACTCTGAGGGTGGGGCCTAGCCATCTGGGCCTTAACAAACCCTTATTGTTTAAAGCCCTTCAGTTTAAGAACTTTAAATGAGAATAAAGCTGGGATGAGAGAGTGGGCTATTGGTTGGTTTCTAGAGTGGTTGAAAATTAGCCAAGATTTGTACACCCCTTTGCTGTGTCAGAGACTTATTCCATACCCTCCACCCACTTTTTAGCTGATGTGAATTTCTCTTTATGGTCTTAGAAGCTCTGTTGCATCTGGACTGTTTCAGTAATAGATTCGTGTGTAACGTGTGTGATATGAGTTAATACCTACAGCCTAAGTGTTGCCCAATGTCACAACTCTTTTTGGGGGGTGAGGGCTGCCTATATCTCCTCTTAGAATATATCCTTACTGTTTACTGGTGAATAACAAATAATTACACAGGAATTGCCTGTGCTTGCTTGTTAAAGACCATTGATGGGTGTTATCTTAATTACTCTTCTATTGTGGTAATAGAAATGTTATATGAAACACTAGGACAAAGACAACTTACATAAAAAAGGTTGTATTTGGTGCTTACATTTCCAGAGGGATAGGAGCTGTTATGGCAGGGAGCATGGCAGCAGGCAGGGAGGCAGGCATGGAACAGCAGCTAAGAGTTCATGTCCCTTCTGATCCACAGACAGGAACGAGAAAGACACACTGGGAATGGTGAGAATCTTTGACACCTCAAAACCCACCCCCAGTGACACACCTTCTCCAAGTTCACACCAGCTAATTCTTCCCAAATAGTTCCATCAACTGGGGACCAAGTATTGAAATATATAAGTCTATAGAAACCATTCTCATTCAAACCACCACAGATGGAACCCTGTGAGCTAAGAGAGAGAGCAACTTTGTATCTGTTTGGCTTCTATCTAGTTCTATCTTCTCTCTTTCAGGGTTCACTTAGGTTGTTCTATTTTAGTGAAATCACCAATAAGGAAGAGAAGTACATTTCCTTAGAGTAGAATTCAGCTTACATATAGTATACATGGGGTTCCATCTTGGGCTAGGCAGAAGTCAGGATTACCATCTCTGGAGAGATCTTGACACAGAAAACTTCAGATTAGGTGGCTCCAATTTATAATACTTCTACATTTCCATTTATGATCTCTGAACTAGAGGAGGCTAGAAGTGACCTTCCTGTTTGGTAGCTTTTCATCTTCTATCACATTTTTATCATGCAGAATAAAACTTGCTGCCTTAAAATCCACTTTACAAGGTGATAGGAAAAGCTGGCTTGGAAGTGGTCTGTCTGAGGTTTGTGGGTTGTTTGGTGATTACAGGTTATAAGACTCTAGCAAATCTCCTGGCTTTTTCTCACTGCCTTTTTTATCTGTTTATATACTATTTGACATACCCATAGTCGTGGTATGGAAAATGTATTTGCATTTGTAATAAATGATGCATTGTGTAACTCTTTTTTTTTTTGGTTTTATGAGACAGGGTTTCTCTGTATTGTTTTGGAGGCTGGCATTGTGTAACTCTTAAACTTAACTGAGAATGTGGTGATAAGATGGGTCCATGTTAACTATGCTAAGGATTGTTCTTCCATAATAGGGCATTGATTTCCATTATAAACGATCTCATTTCATATGGCCTTTAAGCCACAGTTTTATATACATCAGCTATCCATAAGATGTGGTCCTTTATGACCAGCACAATTGCAAAAACTAACAGTCTTCAAGACTTTTCTCTACTATGATCATTTTTAAAACCAGATGATGTGAGAAATGTCTGCTGTGCATATCATGCTCTGTTATGGTTACAATTGCCATGTATGTTGTCACCAGAGATCATGCTTGCTTTGGCAACACACATACTAAAATTGGAATAATACAGAGAGGATTAGTATGGCTCCTGCACAAGGATGACACACAAATTCATGAAGCATTCCATATCTTTAACAAGCTTGTTTCTAACTTAAAGAAAAAAGAAAAACAACAACAACACTGATTGTCACTGGCCTACTCTCTAGCCTTGGAAAAATGTTAAGTGTTTGTGGCCTGTGGGAGACAAGCAGTCAGATTTTGAAACACTAATACTTTCTGATGAATTTGAATCACCAGGCTCCCCTCTGTCATCCTTGTACCAACTTTGCTGCACCTCCTAGCTAGCACCCAAGACTTGTAGCAGGGAACTTCCTGGAGTGAAGTACTCCTCTATGATCTTCCCAGGGTCTAAACAGTCAGCAGGCTACTTTGATGAGCCATCCCAGAAATGCAGTCTTGGAGAGAGAATGGTTTACTTCTGTTGCCTAACAGTTAATGACTCAAATCTCATAGAATTATAAGGCAGGAAGGCAAAAGGGCTTAGCAGGTTATGAAATCCTTAAAGCCTATTGAATAGATGAAGTTGGTATAACTGTGACTCTGCCTTGCTCCTGGCAAAATATGGCACTCGTAAATATCTTTTTAGTCCTACCTCAAAGTAGGACACCTACCCTAAGACATACTCCAGAAGAAAATGTGAAGATTTGGAATCCTACTCACAAAATGAAGCAAATTAAAAAGGAGAAGAAAAATAGATAAAACCACTGCTTTCATCATTATTGGTTTTTGTTAAGCCAAGGATTAATTTTATTTTATGCCAACAGCTTCATATGTAAAACTTATTGTTACTAGGTAGAGGACCAAGTTCTTATTTTAGACAGTTATGAATTAATGTGATTCACATCATCTGGATATTGAAATTTGCTGGTTTTTTTAACAAAACACTTTAAGTAGTTTTATCATATATGAAAAATGTAGTAAGTCTTCCATTATTGTATTTTTTCCAGGTGCAGCAATTCTCTCTCTTAGTATCTACTTTCAAATATAATTATTCTTTTAAGCCCAGGGTGTGAGCTTTACATTGTTTGTAAAGAATATAAAATTTTCTTTGTTTAATTCTACTTAGATTCAGAATAAAACTCAGGATAGTTGTTACTCTGCCTACATTTAAAATATTGTGCAAATTGTCAACCGGTAATAAGTCAGTTGTAGTTAAGAAAAAGCTGATATGTTTGTTTGGGTTATAATTAGAGAAGAATATAAATTATGTGACATCGAACTCTTTATTCTCTGTGACATTGATGTTATAAATTTTTACAATATGAAGTAAATTACAATGTGTAAATGTAGTTTATTCTGATTAAACTTGCTAGAAACAATCAGCTTACTTGTTAAAACAAAGATACTTCATGAATGACCTATAATTTGCAGATGACAAGTCAGTGCATTTTAATCTAGTAAGAAATAGCAGAAAGGTTGCTTCGTTTCATAGAGTCAGAAAAGGGGCATCATTGAGTTGTGGTAGCAACTACATTGTCAAAGGTGGTTTCTGTCACATGAGTGGGAAGTCTTAGTATCATCCTTGGAAGTTTTAAAATGGCTTCTAAGATCTCACCTCATCTTATTCCAGTTTTGGAAAACTTGGCTTGGGTCAGGCAGTACACGTTAAAGATTCTGGGTTAGGCATGTTGATGCACACCTTTAATCCTGGCACTCAATAGGTAGCAGCAGGTAGATCTCTGTGAGTTTGAGGCCATACTGATCTACATAGTCCATGCTTGGCCAGCCAGGATGAAATGATGATATTATCAGAAAAACAAACAAACAAACAAACAAAAAACAGCAACAATGAAGATTCTGAATTAAACCTAGAATTTCTTCTACATTTTATCATGAAAAATTTCAAATACAGACAGACATGGTAGTGCATACCTGTAATCCCAGGATTTGGGAGATTTGGTGTGAGTTCAGGTCAAACTGGGCTACATAATGAGATACTGAAGAGAAAGGGAGGGGAAGGAGGGGGTAGGGAAGGAAGCAGAGGAGGAGAAAGTGAAAATGGATTAGAGAAAATGAGAAAAAAATAAAAAGAAAGCCTACTCTGGGAACCCAGAGTTGATCTCAGGAGACCATTCTGTGTCTTAGCTTGTACAGTACCTCCAGGAAAAAGCGCAAGTCAGAACTGTAGTGTTCCAGGTGGAAATCTGGTTTGAACCATAGGCCAGACTATAGTGAAACCCACTAGGTCTCTAGAACAGGGACAAGCAGTGACACAGGCTTACAGGTGCTAGGATCTAAGGAATGCCAACAGAAAGCTTGCTGATAGCCTTTCTGATACCTAGAGATGGAAACAACTCCTCTAGCTATGATACCCACTGCCCAACCTATGTACCTTATTATTTATGGGCCAACAACACAAAGGTCAACAGAGAAAGTATAGTACCACAGAAATAGTCCATGTTTGCATTCAGGTGAGTGACCACATAGACACAGATACCATTTAATATCTAATGTGAGTGTTGTAGATTACTTTTTCTGTACATTTCTCCCTATCATTTTTTCATAATATTTTTACTTTTTTGGAAGGTGAGTGGGAATAGAGCTTGTCATCTATGAGTCTGCAGCCATCAGTACCATGGCAAAAGTAGCTTCCTTGCCCTTTACAGTCAGTGGGAGCGTGGATCAAGGACTTACATGTAGTTTCTGGTGACAGCATGGACCACAGACATCCACATGGCCTCCGGTGTCAGCATATGCCATGGACCTCAGCATGGTCTCTAGTGGCAGTACAGACCACGGACATCAACACAGCCCTCTGCTGATGCTAGGGCCATTAACTCCATCATAACCCTCAGCGGTGCACAGGTCAAGGACATCAAATCAGACCCAAAACAAGTAGATTAAAAGAAACAATCAAGATCAAAGAAAAAAGTAATAAAATTAAAGCAAAGAGTGATACCAAGAATGAATGAAACAAAAAAAAATCATTCTTTTAAAGAGAAGATTGCTAAGCTCTTAAGCAAACTCATGATGAGAGAGAGACAGACAAGACACTTACCAGTCATGATGCCTATAGTCCCAGTATTCAGGTGGGTGAAGCAGGAGGATTGTAGTTTGAGGTCAGTCAGCACTGCATAGTTACAGCCCAGGTGGGGAGTCAGATTAATAAAAATTAGTAAAATTTGAGATGAAAAGTTAAACATTAAAACTAGTATCAGTGAGAGATTAATTAGAGCATACTCTAAAAACTTGAGGTCAAATGAACTGAAAAATGAATACCTGTGATATGTAAAAGGACACATCTGATGTATGAAAGTTAAATCAGTATAATACAAAGAGTTTAAAGTCTTAGGGTTCTATCACTGTGATGGAACACCATGATCAGAAACAACTTAAGGTGGAAAGAGTTTATTTCATTTTACAACTTGTAGTCCAGTCATCCAGGAAAGTTAGGGCAGGAACTCAAGGCAGAAACCTGGAGATGTGAATGAAGTATGGGCCATGGAGAGTCATTGCTCACTGGCTTGCTACTGTTGGCTTGCTCAGCCTGCTTTCTAATACACCCCAGTACCGCCTGCCCAGGGGTCCCCAGTACTGCCTGCTCAGGAGTGTCACTGCCCACAGTGACATGGTCCTCCCATGTCAATAGGTAGCTAAGAAAATACCCCCAAGGGCTTGCCTAGGCCAGTCTTATGGACTCTACTCAGATGAATCTAGCTTGTGTCAAACTGACAGGAACCTAGCCAGCACAATATGTAACATGCAGTGAAATGGAAACAATCCTTTAATTCTTGCCAAAAAAAAAAAAAAAGCCCATACTCATATAGATTCACTGTTGATTCTACCAAACCCTTTAACAGTGCTCCTCAGACTAGTCCGCAGAGTAGAAAGGAAAGGTGTTCAAACTCAATTTTACAAAGCCAGAATTACCCAAAAGCTGGTTATGGACTCAATAAACAGTAAAAGCATAGGCTGAACATGTATGGAAAATTTCTCAGTGGACTGCTTGCAAACTGATCTATGCCCCAGTCAGTGACCATGGGGGCCTTCATTCTCTGGTTACAAGGATGGTTCAATATATAGAAGTCAATGATTGTAACATAATGTTTAGAACATTAACATGCTCAAGGACAGAAATCCTGTGATGATCTCAAGAGGTGCAGAAAACGTATTTGGCAAAGTACAGCATGTACCTCAATATAATAAAAGCTGCATGTGACAAACATTACAAGAAATGGGGAAAAACACAAAGTATCCACTGAAATGAGGAAAAAGTTAAAGATGTCCACCTTTCCCATTCTTATTCAGCACAGGCTTAGAGCAATAAGAAAAGAGAAAGACAAAGGGCATAGGGCATCCAGCTAGGAAAGGGAGAAGTCAGATTGTCCTTTTGTGTGGATGATATGATCTGATACATTATAGACTCCAGATACTTTACCAGAAAGCTTTTGAACTGAGAAACAATTGGAGCAAGTAACAGGATGCAAAATCAACACCCACAACACGGTCATTTTCATATATGCCAGTAACAAATATGTGAGAAATAAGGAAAAATTCCATTTATAATATTTTTTTAAAAATACCTAGGAATAAACATAAGCAAGGAAGTAAAGGACCTTTATAGTAAAAATTGTAAAATACTGAAGAAAACAACTGAAGAAGGCACCAGAAGATTGAAAGACCCCCTGTGGTCACAGATCAGCAGAATTAATATAGTGAAAATGTGTATTACTGAAAGCAGTTCAGTCCCCTTCATAATCTCAATGGAATTCTTCAAGAAAATAGAGGCATATCTAAAATGCATATGAAAGTACAAAAGACCTCAAATAGTCAAAACAATCCTGAGCAAAAGAAGAATGCTGCCTGGCGGTGGTGGCACATGCCTTTAATCCCAGCACTCGGGAGGCAGAGGCAGGTGGATTTCTGTGAGTTCGAGGCCGGGCTGGACCGATAGCCTCCAAAATAATACAGAGAAACCCTGTCTCGTAAAACCAAAAAAAAAAAAAGAATGCTAGTGGTATCACAATTTGTGGTCTCAAGTTTACTACAAAGCTGTGTAACAAAATAGCTGGAACAAAACCAGACACATTGATTAATGGAATAGAGTAGAGGGGCCCACATTAAACTCACATAACTACAGCTGCCTGCTTTTGACAAAGTGTCCAAAAATTCACAGGGGAGAAAAGACAAATGATGCTAGAAAACTGGATATCTACACATAGAAGAATGAAACTTGAGTCCTGTCTTTCAACATGAAGAAAAAAATCACCTTAAGTGTTGTTCATTGTAACACTTGAAAGTCAGAAACTGTTACAGAAAACTCTGGTGGGGGGGGCTCCTCAAGATGGAGGCAAAAGCAAGGACTTTCTATGAAGGATGCCAGTGACTCAGTAATATTATTGCATGAACCGAAAAAGCTATAAACCAAAGGAAGTGGTTGAGTAAAGAAGTATCTATCTGCAGAATAGGAGAAACTTTGCTAGCTATCACCTGACAGTTACCATTTAAAATATATAAAGAAAAAAAAAGAACTACTAAAAAAAAAAAACACCCCAACAGTCCAGTCAGTAGACAACAAACTAGAAGATTCTCAAAAGATGAATTTTTTCCTGAATTATTTTAATTGTAAGTAGGTTATAATAAAAATGTCACAAAAAGCTGTTGTTGCGATGGACATATGATTGATGTCATTTGCAGACTATGTCATGCTTCCAGGGTGCATGGCTGTGCTTTAGAGTTATGCAGTGAGTAAAAACAAACAAGCAAGCAAAGAACTATGCAGTGAGTTTTAAAATGGACTGTGTGTAGGTTGCAGTGTAGACCATTTTGTGAGCTCAGTAGGAGTGGCATTAGGCATCTAGACTTCGCAAACTTCCTGGCTATTTGTGTGTGCAGTCAAGGTTGAGAATGTTTATTAGCAATGACATCATAACAAAAATGATTTTTTTATAAAAGAGGGACTTGGGAAAGATAGCTTAATGTTGTCAGATAAGAGATATGTGGATTCTGGGGACTCACCAGAGAGCCAGTCTAGCTGGAACAGCAAGTTCCAGATTCACTGAAAGAGCCTGTCTCAAAAATGGCATGGAGAGTAATAGAAAACATCCAGTGGCTTCTGGCCTCTGCATGTGCACACACAAGTGAGCACAACCAGACATAATACACACACACACACAGTGGGGATTTGAAAAGGTTTTTGAAATAGTCTCAAATATGTTAGGTTCCAGACTTTTCTTGATAAATGTTGTTCTAGTAACTTGACAATAAGGCCTTTAAAAATAGGGGAATCTTCTAATTCAGCCATTTCTACGTATATTTACAGCTCTATTCTATGTCTCCTTTTTCTGTTTTACAGATCTGAACAAGTACCAGATTGGCACTTATTGAAGACACAAGAACAGTGTATGAAGGAATATGATAATTCTAAAGAAGAGGTACATAGTGAGTCTGTTTTCTTAGTTACAACCAAGGGATAGGGTTAGTAGTAACTTTTATTTTTATAAGTTCCAAGAGTATATAAGTATTTGTTTGGGAAATAGTATATTCTAAATGATAAATGGTAACAGTAGTAAGTAAGTGAGGTTTTATGAAAGTTGATAATATTTTTAACTTTCTGATCTTAGGCCTTTTACATGTTTTGTGGAAGGATCTGACTCTGACTTAATGTTAATTCCCAGAGGTAGCTTAAATATATCTACCACAACATATTCAGAGTTTAGAAGCCTCTGTCATATTCTGGTTTTCTGTCTGTATGCCAGATTTTAAAATATTATAAAGTCATTGATATTAAGCCAACAAATACATTATGGATTCATTATTGTACACAGGTACTAGCTCAGATCCATTGGAAGGAAAGAAATATAAGAAATGTGGCCTTATTCTGAGGGCTGATTACCAGGATGTCATAATAAAACAGCAAAGATGTGTGCCTTCAGAAAGCAAGCGCAGCTACCTGGAGAAGCAGTGAGGGAGAGCTTTTGATGGAAGGAGTATAGGGACATGTAAGGTCCCTGTAGAAATTGTCTTTTTGACAAAGCGAGGCTGAAGAAGATATTTGGGGTGACAGGGAAGGCTTTTGGGAACCAATGAGCAGACAATGAATCCCAACACATAGGGAGCAATAGAGCCATTCTTTGTTTTTTCAGATTTATTTTATTTTTAATTGTGTGTATGTGCAAGTGAATTCAGGTATTTATGGACGCCAGAAGAGGTTTCCATATCTCCTAGAGTTTGGAACACTACTGCAGACCTTTGAGCAGGGCTAAGATGATTTTTTCCCCTAAAAATTGGAGTAAACAAGCTGTTTCTGAAACATGTAGGTATGGTTGAAGATAGTCTTAATTCCAAGGAAGTATTAGAACCAAAATGAAGGCATGCCCAGTAAACTTTGGTGTGGGGGTGTGTGTGTGTGTGTGTGTGCTGATAATGCTGGGGATTGAACCGAGTCTTGTTAGTGTTTTCTATTACTCTACATCCCCAGCACTCATCATCCTTCCATGATTAGCTAAATAGAGTATTGGAGTTGTTTCTATACATTGAAACAGAATAGATATTTAGAAGATACAATGGGTTAAATATCTCTCTTTAGAGAAAATCTTCAAAGTAAGTGATTTTGAAAATTTAAGAATCCTCCATTAGAAAATTTAAAGTCTAATGAAGCCCAGAAGTATTTACTTTGATCTCCTGAGGAAGAGGCTAATTAAACAGCCACATGTAAATGATGTTTACCTGTGGGTCTCTGTGCTGTCAGCTCTAGTCAATCCCTTCTCTTGAGTAAACACATGACCAAAGCCATAGAAACTCACTGTCCCCTGGAGACCAGATAAGATCTGTCAGCACCCGCATAACCTGGTAGGCAATTACATAATTAAGCTGCATGCTTTTAATTCAGAGACATTGGTAATTACTTTATGTGGGAGTGTCATTGAAATACAAAGTAGCTTAATACTTCTTTTCTCCCAAGTGATGTCTGTTTCCACATGGGAGAACTTTGACACAGAGTAGCAACTTACTGATGTCACTCAGAATTGCTCTGGTCCTGCCCCCACACAGATTTTATTTACCGGAAGATGAGTTCCCAAAACGATGGATTGTTTTCTGATATCTGTCTTTTAAATACTGTATGAACATAATCCCTTCCTTCAACTCAGAAGGTACTGGTACTGGTACATGTTTTTTTCTTCAAGCACTGAAAATTATTTCTCTGTAACCAAGAGGAAGGATTTTGATGAAGTGGTAGTTAAATCTGGTAACTGTCATCTACTGCCATTGCACCTTGGTAGCTGTGTGAGTGACACTGTTTGCATATAGAAGAGAATTTAATCCTGCAAAGTGCTTTCACACTTAGTTTCTCTTTGGATTCATGTTGCCCTTAAAGATCAGATTCTTTAGAGGTGGGTATGATTTCTCTAAGGAACAAGCAGAAAACTAAAATGAAACCTTGAAATGTCAAACAGAAAACTGCCTCTGTGTTACTGTCCCTAAATAATACTGTTGACAAGAGGCATGGCCTTTAATATTTAAAGTGCTTACAAATAGGGCTAGGAGTGTAACTCAGAGTAGAACACTTGCTTAGCACACACATCTAGTTTCAATCCCCAGTAGCACACACACACACACACACACACACACACACACACACACACACACACACGTTGCACTTCTGGGTATGAACCTCCTTTTCCTGCTTGCCACAAAGTGGCTTTTCTTTACTAGCATCACATATTCTTCTGTTTCATTTTGAATGGCTTGACAAAGTCCCCATCCAATAAACACACAGTCCCCTGCCCACTTTACATAGCTCCCTGTCCACTTTACATAGCTCCCTGTCCACTTTACACAGTCCATTGTCTTTTTTTAGTGCACACACATGCACACTAACACACACACACAGTATTGCAGATATTTTTCATGACTCAGCAGATGTTTCTAATTAGGAAGCTTTTGACTGGCTCTTTGCTGAGTTCTGACATTTGTGTCTGTCAGTTTATCCTTCCCTGCTTTTTAGGGGCTCAGAGTACAGATAGATTCCTTTGCAGATAACCCACTGGGCAGATGTACTACTGTCTCTCTTGTCCCCATGATCTTGTAGAGTTATACCATCTATTTTCATGTTGCAATTTGATCATCCGCCTAAATTTCCATAGATATAAGATATTCATCTTTGAGAAATTATCATTTATAAAATTGTCTTCAAATATCAATTCTTGTACATTTCTTCAAAAAAACCTAAGAAATCTCAAAAATGAATATTGAGTAGTGAAGGTAAATGAGATAAAACATACAAAATAAATTAAACCAGCCATGCAGTGTGTTTACCACATTGTGTGGAAAAGAGGGCTCTACACAGTGGCAATGGTGTTTTTATCAAGCATATGGGGACTTGCTAGACAGATGTTTGTAATATTATTATAGCATTTTATCCTATATTCTTTTGAAGCCCAATTCAAATTCAGCACAAGCAAAAGAGAGTCGTGTATGAAATCCATACACAAAGCAGACCAATGTGTGTCATCCTTGAAAGCGTCTAAACTCTGTGTGAGCAGCAGGGAGACAGTTCTCCAAAGCAGCGTTTATTTGGGACTTAGTATGGGGCTTGTAGATCTGGCATGCAGTGGTAGACTACAGGTACATCTGCAGGGAGTGGGGCAAAGGGAAGCTTTAAAAGAGAAGTTTTATTTTAGCTGTCTTGAAATGAAGACCATTGGTTATAAGAGCTTGTGATTGGCTCATTAGTGGAGACAGCCATTGTTAATCAAGTGATCTTGTGTAAGCAGCTTAGCTGGAATATTCAGGTAGTTAATCTATAATACTGCAGTTTTGAGGAATTCTTTGCATAGACCTTGTTACAGGCATATGTGCAAGAGGGTTTGTCTTTCATAGTCTCTTGGTTCCACTTTGTTATTTTGACATAGTGACTCCACTTTGATCCTGGTAACTTGCGTTAGGGTCTAAGTCAGAAGTAATCTGAAACACTGATGGTCCAAAACAGTGTCAGCATTCAGGGGAGGAGAGAAATTCTAAAGGCATTTTAAATTGCATGAAAACTTATTAATTTTTACAGTCTGCAAATTCCATTGTAAGATGCACAAAAACCTCAATAATCCCTTATCAATTTTGGTTTTTAAATGTATGCTAAGACAGTATTCTTTCTTTCTTTCTTTATTTATTTATTTATTTTTTTTTTTTTGGTTTTTCCGAGACAGGGTTTCTCTGTATTGTTTTGGAGGCTATCAGTCCAGCCCGGCCTCGAACTCACAGAGATCCGCCTGCCTCTGCCTCCCGAGTGCTGGGATTAAAGGCATGCGCCACCACCGCCCGGCCCCTAAGACAGTATTCTTAAGAGGCTAAAAAATTGTTATCAGTTACATCACATATTTATAGTTTAGAAATACACACTCTGTTAGAACATATGGATTGTTTTAAACTTGATTAGATAAAGAGTTATAGATTCCACTGTGAGATTTCTAAAGGTGAGGTTTATATTTATTCATATTTTAAAATGCTTTGCTTATGTCTAGGATTTCTGGGCACAGACAAACAGAACCAGGGTGAGTCTAAAAAGCACCATGGGCAGTGTGAGGATACAGTTCAAGGAGGCTTGCTTTCTTCCTTTCAGACCTAGGGAGCATACATATTGAGGAGGTGTGTACAGGCTGTCAGAATGGCAGCCAGTGATGGGAGCCACTTTGGGCCTAGCTTCACATGCAAGGCTTCATGTTCATGCCCCAGTCTACAGAAACAGAAGCCCTGAGCAGTTCATCTACGTAGACTTGTCAGAACTGAAGTAAGATCCAGGGACAGTTTATACAAATAGAGGTAAAGAATCTAAGAATTAGCACAGCAGCACAACGTCCTATCTACAAGGCAAACAATATCAGAAACTTTGGCCAAGAATTACAGCTCCTTAACACATCACCCCCAGAGCAGTTTCTCCAGCTTCTGTTGTAAGCCCTGGGTCCAGGAGATCAACCAGCCCTAAGGAAGTCAGAAGGAAAGACCCTTGCAGAGAACCTTAAAGGATTAGCTGAGCTAAATGCTCAGGGCTGGGATCTCCCATGCTCTGCTTCCGTGGCTCTCACATTGAAGCATCTTTTCCTTCTTCTGTGCTAATCATGAAGAATTGTGATTTCTTCACCAGTCACTGAACAATTGCTTGTTACCCAGACACTCAACTGCATAGAACCTGAGGACCTTTGTCCTGTTCTACTAATCATATTGGCTTATGATGTCTTGGATCCATTTCTTGCAGATTAGATGCTGCCCCATATTTTCTACAATCATCAATCAACAGGTCACCACAACTGTCACCAGAATGGAGCAAATCACAACTTCCTAACAGAGTGTGTACACTGGCAGTGAGACAGTGTGATAGAGATTGTTATTAGCATCATTTTATGTTGTAGGAGCAAAGCACTTACCTGGAAATTAAAAGACTTAGTTAGCTCAGATCCTGTTAATTGCCATTTTCCTTCACCTTGCTTCTCAGGTAGGCTGTGATTAAAAATAAATTTCCTTATACATATAGGCTAGTTAGTGTCCTTTAATAAAAGATATGCAGGGTAGCAGGTGAGTTTCCCCAGCTGCTCAGAAGACTCAAAGGTGAGAGTAGACTTTTATCCTTGGCTAAAGATTAAGATTCACAAACAAGTCGGCTATCTTCTGCTTGGTGCATTTTTTTTCTTTAATTCATTTTTACTTAGGTATGTGTGCCTGTTTGTCTCTATGTACATCACATGCATGCTGCATCTACAATGGTCCAAAGAGATCATCACATCTCCAGGAACTGATATTACAGGCTGTCTGGTGTGGTGCAGGGAACCAAACCCAAGTCCTCTGCAGGAACAACAGCAAGTGCTTTTTAACTGCTGAACCATCTCCAGCCCCAAACCAACTCTCTGTTACAAGTCTAGAAAACAGGAATCATGCAGTGAAAGAATAAATCTGTCCTTCAGAAAGGAAGTCTGAGGGTCTGCTCTTATGTATACCAAAGGGAGAACAGGCTAGCTCCAGATAAACAGGTGATCTTACCTCATGTACCTGCTTTTCAAGTTGAACGTTTGTGTAGTACGTAAAGTTCAGTCTTCAAAAACGTATTATTGTGAATTAAGATTGTACAGATTTAAATTGTGCTGGAAAATAACCAGATGTTATTTTTAATTAAATTGCTTCATATATTTTGATCATGTTTTTCCCTTTTCTCAATTCTTCCCAGATTCTCCCCACCTCCCTACCCACCCAACTTCATGTTGGTTCTTTCTCCCGTTCTTCATCTCTGTTATTTTGATCCTGAGGACATTTTAATGTCAGGAAACAATTTAAATTCTAAGTTAAGTTTAACCTAAAATTCTATTTTTAAGTCTGAGTCTCTGAGAGCAAAGAGAACAGGGTTCTGGTTTGTTTTGATTTCTTTTTTTGGTGCTTTCTTTGCAACGCTGTAGGCCACAGCATTATTGAAAAAAGTCCTTACAGAAGAATGTGACCATAGGTCAGCTATTCACAGCAATGAATCATCTTGCAGCATGCCATCTATTCTGAATGACAATAATGGAATAAAGGAAGCAAAACCCGCTCTGCGGCTCAACAGTGTTCTTACAAGGGAACAAGGTAACTATTGTTAAACAGTGTGCACAGCAAAAAGGCATTCAGAGTCAATGCAACATCCTCTTTCTCAAGGCATACCTATAAAATACCACTAATTAAAACCCATCTCAGGTCTTAAGTGCATGGTATGTTGTTTGTTTTATGGTACCTTCCAGTTAATATGTATGTTCTCAGTCAGGCAGGAATGTGAACCCTAAGTGTAGTTCCGTTGAGCTTCTAGTAAAAAAAAAATGCTTACAAGTTAGGAAATCCTAAACCAATCACTTACAGTACCTTTTGTACAAGAAATAAATGAACAAAGACTATAGATGAAGAGACAGTAAAAAAGAAATGAATTGTTATTAAAACTCCACACACAGGATCTGGAGAGAAGGGATAAGAGCACTGGCTGCTTTTGGGAGGACTCAGGTTTGGTTTCCAGCATGCACATAACAGATTACAACTGTCTGTTAACTCAAGCTTCCTTATGACCTCCAGGCAGGCACGAGGTATGACATATACATGGTGCACACATATACATGCAGGCAAAACATTCTTGTACATAAAATAAATCTTGAAACAAAACAAAACACGTATAGGGCTGGGTGTGTAGCTAAGTGGTAGAGAGTTTGCCTATCATTTGTGAGACCTAGGTTCCCCCCTCAGCACTGAAGAACAAATTTGTTCTATAAATTTGAAACACATTTTTATAATGTTTTTATTTTTAGAGGTTTCAAGTGGCTGTGGAGATGAGAGCAAAGAAGAAAGCATAGCTGCAATCCCAGTCGCAGGTAACATTGCAAGTGCCTAATAGTTTCAGTCCCAGAATGCAGTCTTATTGCATAATCACAGGTAACATTGCAAGTGCCTAATAGTTTCAGTCCCAGAATGCAGTCTTATTGCATAATCACAGGTAACACTGCAAGTGCCTAATAGTTTCAGTCCCAGAATGCAGTCTTATTGCATAATCAGAACATTCAGGGTTAGTCATTGGTGGGTCCAATGACTTGGTAAGGTGGAGAGAGAATATATTCAACTACTGTATGTAAGCTGTGCTAACACAACCCAACATGGTCCAATGAGCTCTTCATCTTGATTTTAAACATCCAGCCTGTATGCTCCACCATACAACTTTTCAGCACCTGTAGCAATTTGAGAACTGTCAGTTGGCCAGGGTGAGTGCCTTATGTTTCTGATTTTACTTGTTGCCTTTCCTGTATGTAGTAATCGAACTTAAAACTGCTTAAAACTAATGTTTTAAAAAATGTGTACTAGGTAGGGAATTTGCTCGTGCCTCAGGTATAAATGCCTGTCGGGCAATTTAAAATTCTCACTAACCATGCTTCACCTATAAAAACCTCTTAAGACTTCCACACATGTATTAGGTGTGTTTAGAGGTAGAATCTGAATTGTGTCATTACATTTTTTAGGCCTAAAATATCAGCAAGCAGCAATTAGTATTCTGAACAGAATCTTATTTGTTGTACATCTAAATTTACTAGATCCTTATTTTGTCAAGTGGTATGTTGCTTCATTATAAATTCAAAGGTCTGACTTTAAATATTTATAGAAGTAAACACACTGTTGCTGAGGTACTGAGCATGCTTCTGCATATGAGGTAGTTTTGTTTTTGTTTACAAGCAAAAATGAATGGCTTGCTTTTATGGTAATGTAACTCACAGCATAATGATTCGTTTTTAAACTCAAGTTTCTGTTATGAACTCTTGTTTTGAAAATAGAGTTTATGGCAGAGCAATTATTATGTATGTGTACCATTTCACTCCAATATACAGAGATTTTCTATAGTTTTGGGTATTTTACCCATTGATGTTCATTGTATTTTTGTCATTTTGAGAAAATGTTGATAGGGTTCACTCTGGTTGTTTTTGTTTTTTGTTTTTGTTAGTGTTACTAAAAGAAATATAGATGACCCCTAAGCTGCAGATATCTGAAGTTATTTGGTTATCTTTTTCATACATTTACCTTTGAGTGCAGAAGTATTTAATGGCCTCTGAATGTGTTTCAGTTAAGATTATAAAGCCTGTGATCACAAAGGGTCATCTGTAAACTTATTTTAAATAAGTTGTAATTTTAATATCCCATCCCCTATCTATCAATAGTTGACAGGGAATACCATGCCTTAGTATACTAAAGAATTAACTGTTAGAACGTAGCAAAGGAGAGCTGGCTCTGATGGGGGCAGAGGCAAGAAGATCTCTGAGTTTGAAGCCAGCCTAGTCTAAAGAAAAAATTAAATTAAATAGCATGGGGGGGTCCCAGAAAACTTTGTAAAGTTATTTTTACTAGAGCACTGCTACTTTGTCTTCTCTATCCTTGTTCTTCTAAGCACCCCATGGAGCCTTTCATGATGTTCATGTCTAAGTGCCTTGTGTGCTGTTATATTCATGTTGTGTCTATCATCATAACTATTTGGTCTCTTAAATTCTTGATTATTATCATTTTAAAAAGACTTTTGTGTCTTTTATCTTAATTATTTGGAAATTTGATTGTTTGTTGAGTAAGACAAGTACATAGAGTTCAATTTAAGATTCAGTTTGCCTATCCTTTATAATAGTCTGTTGAAGTTTCATGTTTGTGTAGGTGCAGGATGGCTTTATTTATATGGGCTGCATTCCATCTAGAATATTCTCCAGAGTCTGTCCTCTTGGCATTGAAGAGACTAGCAGTTGAGCCTGGGCTTTGGCATCAGTGTCTTTACTCTCTGCTGTTTTTACATATTTCTGAGTCTCTAAATAGGGAAAGGTATCTAACAAGTACTATCTAACAAGTTGCCTTAAAGTTTAAATGAAATCAGCCAGGTGTGGTGTATAAACCTGTAATGTGGCATATGAAATGCAGAGTCAGGGGATTATTGCAAGTTCAAGGGCAGTCAGGTCTCCATAATAAAGCCCTGTCTTTAAAAAAAAGTTTTAAATGAGATGAAATGAGTGTGTGAAAGTGCCAAATAGACACTAGGTATTAGATGCCGAAGACCTGCTGGCTATGATATACAGTAATAATATCCATCCAAATGTTAGGTCTTCTGTGCTGGGTCTCATAACCCCTAACATTTACAAATCAGTAGCACCCAGTCAAAAGCAATCTTACAAGACAAGCTCAAAGAGAAAAACAGCCAAAGCAAAGGGGTGAGAATGCAGTGCCTCAGAAAAAGAAGTCCCTTGATGGGCCTCCAGACGTCTGGCTGCCTCCAGTGTGTTAGCCTGTCACTGCTCACCCTCCCTGAGTTATGACGTGACTGAGGACCAACATCAGCCTGAACATGGCGTAGCTGTGATTCCTCAGGGATGGCACTTCCCAGCTGTACTGCTGAGGTAGTTCTTTCAAGAAAACTCCACTTGAGAACAGTTTATGATGTGACTCCAGAAAGATATTTTTATTTTACCAAGAAAAAACCTGAAGAATTTATGGATACTTTGGAAATTACAGTTAGTCCCATAAGGAAACCCTTACAGGTGAATTGCAGGCTAGGTCTTGGGATCTTAATGATCAAGCTGGAGGTGTCTGGTTCTGTGTGCCTAGAAGCCGTTAGTGACTCTGCTCACAGATGAAGGTACTGCAAGGCGTTTGATGGCCATGCAGCAGACCTTTCCTAATGTGCTGTCTCATTAATGTTGATGGACAATGCAGCATTACCCAGAATGCACTCTGTGCAGAAATACTTGGATAAATAACAGCCAAACCTGTGTGGTCTCTTTTGCTTTCTATAGTGTACTTAATGTACAGGACCCTGATGAAGACTCTCAGAAGACTTTGAAGGAAATTAAAAAGTGTGAGCTGCCAATTCACAAATGTGTTATGTAATTGAAAATGAAGGGTTTTTTTGTTTGTTTGTTGTTTGTTGGTTTTTGTTTGTTTGTTTGTTTTGCTTTTGAAGCACAGTTTTTCTGTGTAGCCCTGGATGTCCTGAAACTTGCTATGTAGACCAGGCTGGATAAAGTGCTTAATGGCCAACAACATTAACTTTTTTTGTTGTTGTGAAACATGCCATAGAACACATATATGCACATATATGGGACACTTTCTTAAAATAGCAGGTCCAGTTAGGATGGACATCAGCTTTCTCGATACAGTAAAGTTGTCCTTGTTGTTTTTCTGCATGCCATTTTGTAGGACCTTCCTAGTGGGTGAGACTTGGGGCTACTCTAATCAAATTATATTGGAGTATTAGGATTGAAAACTACTGATAAAACTCCCTCAGGTTGACCAGAAGGTTATAGTAGTAACTTTGATGTCCAGAAAGGCTCTTCAGTGTGGGTCTTTTCTCTGTGTACCTGTTTGCTTTGCATCATTTTAGAAAGATGTAGGAAAGCAAGAGGGCAAAGTGAAATCCTGGCCAGGTTCCAGGCCGCATGGAAGACTCTGAAATTACACAGTTCTCAGAATAAGAGTCCTGAGACATTAACATTAAAAGGGCACACCTGGTCTCTCTGTTTCTCTGTATATTTGAGGAGCTGCTATGTGCAAAGCAGATCATTTACTGAGCATAACTGTAGTGCAAATTGGTAACAAAGGCATGTTTTAAGCTCTTTATTTCATAATACAAAGTTCTGTCTTCTAGGTATGAGATTCTGGACTGAGAACCTGAACCACAGCAAGCCCTGTAGAAGGAATTCTTGTTTACAGAACCTACCATTATTCTCACTGCACATTAAGGGAATCAATGTGTTGTTGTGGAATATTTGCACACTGTGAGGGTGTATTGTTGTGTTGGTATAATAATAAAAAGCTGAACATCCAATAGCTAGGCAGGTTGGATAGGCAGGACTTCTGGGTAGAGAGAGGGAGGAAGAGGAGGAATTGAGGCACTCGAGGGAGATGCAAAGAGATTCAGAAGAAGCAGGATGGGCGGTACATGACAGAATGTACATGAAGAAATGAGCTAAAAGCTATAAGAGCTAGTTAAAAATAAACCTAAGCTAATGTCACGCTTCCATAATTAATATGTCTCCATGTTGTTATTTATGAGCTGCCAGACCAAATCAAACTCCAACTACAATGTGGGCCAACATTCTAATACCTTTATTTCCCCTTCTTACTTAAGTCCTCCCAAACTTAAACTTTCTTAAAGTTCATCCTTAAATAGTTTTCTAGCTTCATTAGTCATAGAAAAAGTGAATTTTCTTCACCAGGGTTTATATAGAATGCCCTCTCATACAGCACACATTCCCTAGTAGACAAGATCAGGTATTTCTACAAACTAGTCTGTTGTTAACATAGTCGAGTGTCCTTACTAAAGAATTCAGATAAAACAAATTAATGTTATATCTATGAACATGTGTGTTTCTTTATATGATAGATAATATGCCATTTACATGTTTAATGTATTAGTCTATTACTTGGACTGAATCTTGGGATACCAAGGTCAGAAAAGACTGCCTCTGCCTTCAGTAAACCTCAGTCATTTCTAATCTTTACAATAGTCCCATACAACTCAATTTGAGTAACTCATCCTGCTGTCAAACAGAAATATAGAAAGGTCAGGGCCAGCTCAATGGATGTGGAATCCAAGTCAAACTTGAGGATTCAGTGTTTTCATTCTTCTATCATGACTGTTTTGTTATAGCAGCAGAAACGCAGCTATATCAGGGCATCTGGGTCAGTTAGATCTCAGCCTGTATCATAGAAAAATATGGGCTTACCAAGGCTGGGGAGCAATGTTGAGCAGTCATGCTTTTCCTTTCTCTTTGGCTACACCTAGAGAAGTGAACAGCTTGCAAAAATTTCTAAGGCCAGACTAAGAGGCTTGCCTTTTCTAAAGTGGGACAGGCCTGAGCACAGCTGGACCTCTGAAATCATGTGAAGGATGCAGGATGTTCTGGTCCGTTTCCCTGGAAACACTCAAACCAGGAAGAAAGTTGATGCTTAGCAAGATTATGAGAGAACATGTCCATCCGAAGTACTTACATCCACAGTGATGGCATTTTAATTTGTATTCATACTAATGTCCCCTTCAGTTCCAAGCTTTAGTTTAGGCAAATGATACAACTTATATCAAATCATGAAAACCAGTACCTTACATAGTATGTGCTACACAGTGGGCCCCTAATTTGTCAAACAAATGAATAAAAATGGGGAATTAAGGAGTTTCCTCAAATGCTTGTTGATTCAGGCTAGAACACTATCTCTTTCAATCATTCACTCCACCACCACTTTTCCCACCCCACGTGCCCATCCTGGCAAAACTCATCTCCTTAAGCTGCATGTGAAAAGGGCTGTCAGCTTTTATCTCAAGAGGATTAAGCCTCTAAGAATGTCCATTCAGCCTCTCATTCTTTTAACACCAATTCTGTTGGTCAAGCTGTGTTAAAAGTGTTGCTTCACTGTGCCATTTCTCCTCTATATTCCTTGGCCAGCTGAAATACTCTCCATGGTCACACTGAAACCTCCATGGAGAAGCTTTGCAGGTTAGCATCTTCCTGCAGGGTGCTGCGTGGAGTTCTGGACACCACCTCCCCAAACACTACAGCTTCTGTTTTATACCATGCTGAAAAGGATCTGGGCACATACAATGACCAGGTTGTCATTGGTGACTGCATTCACCCCAGGAGAAAAGAATGCGGTGACAAGTTTGGGCCACCCAAGTGTAGTGGCATATAACCTCGAAGACTGCAAGTTCACTAAGAATGCCTTTTTCCTTGCCTTGTTCCAGAAGTGCTTTACTCAGAAGAATTAGTAGAAACAAGTTATCTGCTGTGCCTGGGTCAGGGAACTTCCAATGAATATGAAGCAGGGCATCGTTTGCTGAGGTGGTGTTCATGGTGGTCAGCCCCTCTGCCATTGATCCTGCTACCTGCTGCTTGCAGCTGGGGGACAGAGGTGTTTATCATGGATGTGAAAGGATAAAAAGACCTTTCTGAGGAGTGCTGTTGATTAGTGTGTCTGCATTTGAAGACATGAGCTCATAATTGAGGAGAGATTCTCCCAGGGAATATGCAGTAAAATTCCATGTGAGTTTTCTGTGCTGTGCTACATTAGAATTCAGCATAGATCCCAGGCGTAAGTATCTTATGATATATCATAAGTATCCTATGTCGGTCTCCAGGTTGAGAATCATACAGTAGGAGTCTCAAAGCAGGAAGAGCCCCTAGGTCAGATTGTTAAAAAAAGACCTTTATTTTACACAGGCAATTCAAATTGAGAGGAGAGGTCAGGATTTAGACACTTTCATAAAATCGGGAGTCCGAGAGAGCTGCTTTGATAGTACCATAAGCTTACCAGATGCAGTGACCTAAGTGTGTAGTCCAGATCCTCAACTGGCTACAGCAGGAGAAGCATTGACCTAAGTGTGTAGTCCCGATCCTCAACTGGCTACAGCAGGAGAAGCATTGACCTAAGTGTGTAGTCCCGATCCTCAACTGGCTACAGCAGGAGAAGCATTGACCTAAGTGTGTAGTCCCAGATCCTCAACTGGCTACAGCAGGAGAAGCATTGGTGCTACTGGGAAGCTTCCCTGAGCAACAAAATTGCAAACATGAAAACAAAATGCCACCAACTTAAAACAATAAAACTTATACTGTAACAATTCAAGATGTGAAAACCAAGGTACAACCAGGGTAGGTCTCTAGGGAAGAATTCTTCCTGTCCTCTGTGGTTCTGATTCGTGGGGGTGTCTCTTCAGTGTTTGCCTCTGCTTTCTTACTTCCTTTTCTGTGTCTCTGCGTCTGCTCCTCTTACCAAGTAGACACCAGTTGTTGGATTAGGGTCCAGTGAAAATTCAGGATGATTTCATCTTGCTCTCCTATGCTAGTATGTCTACAATAATCTATTACCAAATAAGATCACATTCTAAGGCTTGAGTGATTTCGAATTTGGGGGTGAGGAAGGCAGTATTCAGCCCACTATGGGATTTAAGAAGGGGGTTCTTCATATTTTATATTTCTAATAATATTTGGGTTACTTCATACCCATCATTATTGGCCATTCTGTAAGAAACAAAAATAATGTCAAGATTTCTGATTCCTACCATAATATAAATTATTATCAATTGCTAAGAGTGATTCTTACAGAACTGTTTAGAGCTGGGAGTATAGCTTAGTGGTAGAGCATCTACTCAGCTTACATGAGCCCATGAGTTCAATCCCCAGCACTGGGAAAAAATGAAAAGCGCTAGAGTATACCCTTAAAACCAAGATTTTTACAGAGATGATGCAAGCTTTTAAAAGTTAAAGTTTTCCTGATTTTAAGAGCTGAAAATTTGCTTCCTATGATTAAACAGGGGTAAGCAGCAAGCAGTATGGTACTTAAGTTTGTAGGAAATATAGTTGTCCCCCACTGTACAAGGGGAATAGGCTCCAGACCCTGTTGAATACCAAACTGCACACATGCTCAACTCCCTTATATAAAATTGTTTGGTATTTCCATATAGTCTACATAAATCCTTCCTCAAACTGTAAATCATCTCTTGATACATTTAACAAACACCTGATATGATATAAATGCTATATAATAGTGTGTCATTTAGAAAGTAATGACAAGAAGAAAAAGTTTGTACGTACCCAATACTAATATATTTTTTCTAAAATATTTTTTAATCCATGTTTTCTTTTTTGGGTCTGTGGATGTGGAACTGAAGGACACAGAGAGGCGGATATAGTACCCTCAGAACTGTTCCAGTTCAGCTTGGGAGCATCAGTGAAAGGTCAGTTACAAACCTGGCATTTGTTTTCAGATTTAATTGTTGAGTTGCTTCACAGAAATTAGAACTAGAATGTAAATCTCTTTTCTGACACTTTCCCCAGGCAGCCCCTGTGAATTAGGAGTGTTTCTTGTGCATTAGCAGTATTGGTGGAAAAAGCAGATAGAGACCTCACAGTGGATTTGCTGACCCAGGTCTCCTGGGGGATGAGTTTATCACTAGAAGTCCAGATGTGAAGATTCCCTGGGCCAATGCTGCCCACATTCATAGACTTGTGACCTCTTTCTCTGAAGTCTTAAATATACAAGCATTTTCTATATTTTTTGAATTGCAAAAGTACCTATATTCAAATGTTTTTCCATTTTTATTTAAGCAGATGACTTGATAACTAATTTATGGACTTAGAGTGATAATGTGTCTTTTGAATTAATTTTAGAAATATTTTTTGCTTTTAATTTTATTTTGCAAAAGCTTTTAATTTTATATTGGCATTGCATCTAATGTGACATGAAAAAACACTTTAAACGTGTAGAAATACATGAAAAGTAATGAATAGAACCTTAGCATTCTTTATACAGAAAGCATTTTTCAATTTTAATTTTAGAATTTCTACCCACTTCATATAGGAACAGTACTTATATGCCCTTAGTTGAATGCCCCAGTTCTTTGCGAGTTCAAGGTCTGGTTCCTTGCAGCGGTGATAGTATTGTTTGTGTCGCCTTTTGTTATTCCTTTCCAGGCCCAACTCTTTTTTTTTTTTTTTCATTAAGGATTTCTGCACAAGCAATGGGCAGATCCCTTGCCTCCATACAGCCCTTAGAGACTGGTGAAACACATGTGTATCTTGTAATGGGCTGTTAAAAGCACTTGTTCATCAGATATTTTCTTTTTATTTGTAGATTTAGGAGTATTTTAGCAGGTGTACATTTGCATATAAAAGAGAATAAAAGATAAGAAGTTGAGGCTTTTTCTTTCTCCTCAGCATCATCTCTCTCCTACCCCCTTTATTCAGCATGTTTTCACCTTTTTTCTCTATAGCTGCTTCTATTTTCTAGACCCAAAATGCATATCAAAAAGAAAAAAATCGCCTTAGTGATCCCTCAGCACTTTGCAGGGAGATGAATGACTGGGTTCCCGCTTATGAAACAAAGTAGAGGAAATATATTTATCTCATTGTGTCATCAGCCTGGAATTAATAAACAGGATAAATTTTAGTCTCTTGGGGCCTGGATACTACATGAGATATAGACCCCTTGCCTTGTTATGTTTTAAACTGCAATATTTTCTAATTTTTAAGCTAAAATTTGACATAGAGTTGAATATATAATGGTGCTTGACTGCAGGATTCAGAACCAAAAACTCGAAGATGTACATATATTTGTTTCTGTATATGAAAAGAATTGATTTCTTTTAAAATGTTGGTTTCATCTAATAATTTTTATTACTCCATAATTATCTGAGTGGTTACAAATGAGAGAAGTATTTCACCAAAGTTCCAAGGTATAAGCTACAATGTAAATCAAGCCTTTAACAGCTAGCTAGTCCCTAGATTTTCAGATAACATGCCTTACTTGCAACCAGTTCTTTATCCCTTAGTCCTTTGTAGGAGGCTAGCTTTTTTAAACATGGTGCTTTTTCTCCTTTATCACTTCTCCATTGACTTTATAATGGATTGCAAGGCAGCAGCACACTGCAACTTTAACTGCTTGATTCCTTGCTCTCTTTTTTTCTCCCATAGGAGTCTGGGCTCAAGTTGCCAAACACCACATGCATTGTTTGACCTTTTTGCACTGTGAAGTTGGCTTTCTGACCAAGTCTTTAGACTGTTACAGGAGGGGATCTGCATTCTTTGAGAACCTCTTGCAAAAAGTACATTTGCCAGCAATGGGTCTGAAGCTGGTCCACAACCGTTTAACATATTATGGCTGACACAGCTTCCCTGAGTCATTTCAGGTCCTCGCCCTTCAGTGTGGACTTTCCCTAGCATCTAACTAGTACCTTTGGCTGTAGCTTTGCTGGTCCCTGTGTGTGAGCTCCTAGCTTCGATTTCTGCAGGCAGGCTCCCTCTCCTTAGCTCTTGGGATCAGATTTTTCACTGAATTCATTCTACTGCCTCTGCACCTCTCTCAGAGCCCCCACACTCTAGCATAAGAGCCTGAGAACCAGGGTCTGCCTACCCAGGATGCATCTGTAGGGCTTGGAATGAAAAGCTATTCGTTTTGATAGTGAATCCATACACAGATCCATCAAAAAGCTGAGTGGAATTTGCAGCCTCAAATAAACTCTTAAAATTCATCCCAGAGTCTTAAAAGGTATTCAGCTCAATTTTTATTTGTGGCACATACCTTTTTTCCCATGATATGGGCTCCATAGGGAGACCTAATTAGGGAGACCATGCATCTAAGAAATGTTAGCCACATAGAAGAACTTAAGAAACAGTTATGAGCAGTTGAAAGTAAAATATTCCTGTGCTTTTTTTCATTTATAGAGACAAAGGCCTACCAGTTACTGAAGAAGTCTACCCTTCAGGATAATTTGAATCAAACTGAAGAGAGATTTGAAAGTCAATTTTCAAGTAAGTAGGGACAGATTCAACACTTGAAATCTGTGATGGGGCTCAGGACAACAGCCAGCACTATGCTGAGAGAAGTGTGGTTTTAGAGTTTACTTGGTAAGGAGTGTTACTGAGTCTGAGTGATCAAGAACTTTTTCATCCTTAGCAGACAAGCATTTGGAAGGACCCTGCCTTCTGGATACATTGGGCCAGCCCAGCATGGTAATAGTTCTCATAGATTGTTTCATGGTGGTATCTTTTCACCAACTACTGTAGAAGATGCCCCAACCTTCTCTTCCCCACATCTCTTATTTCTTAATCATCAAATGAGCAGTTTTGTGCTGCATGTCCACTCTGTGGGAATGCTGGGAAATTCTCCTTTCTTATAATGAAAGGACTGTAAGTCCCAATAAAGCCAAAATGGTAGGCTTAAATATAGTTCCTTTAATCTAGGATTTTGTTTCTATTTTAATTTTCTTATATTTCCCCTTCTATTATTTTAGTGATTTTCATTTTATTATATCTTCTTTTTTAGGTATTATTCAATTTAGCACCCCTAATAAAAGATACATAATATAGAAGAAAGTATATGAGTAGCTTTTTATTAATTTTAGACTTGGATATTTTATTTTATGTGTATGAGTGTTTTGCCTGCATGTATGAATGTATATCATGTACACTCCTGGTACCCAAGGATGTCAGAAGAGAGTGTTGAATTCTTTAGAACCATAGTTATAGTTGATTGTGAGCCACCCTGGGAGTACTGGGAATTGAACCCTGGGTCTGCTGAAAGAGTAACCAGTGCTCTTAACCACTAAGCCATCTTTAGTTTTCTGTGGTCATCATATTTTGTTTTTCCCATCAGAGTTGTACAGTGATTTCTTAATGTCATGTAATTCTTAG